CACCGGCTCTGAGGAAGACGAAGACGTCGAAACGTTAGCCGAAAATAAACATATTTATCAACCTCGTGCAAGCTTATCAAGAAAGAATACATATCTGGACTTATGTTAAAGCAATACAGCATTTAACTTTGAAAGTTATACTGAAATTACTTTGCCATTTTAAGTAGTTCGCCTAGCCAATTCTTTGTTAGTGAAACTGCTTAGGAAGACTTTTAACGAATTTTAATAACTTTGAACAACTACATGCTTACCAGCAAGCAGAGACAATCACATTAAAGCCTTTCGTTGTAACGGCCTTAACTTCGCGTAGGATTTCCTCATGAGTATTGCCTTTCCATATTTGGATTATAGAACCATTCTTCTTAACAACATATCCTGAGCAGAAGAAATTCAATCACTCAGCCCAACATACTGGCTTATTATTGTCGAAAACTTCTTGCCAGAATACCATTCTTCGTTTTGACGGAAGATTGCTGATGATCTCGGCAAGTCTTAAAGATGGTTTTATATTGCGTAATGCCGGCAAAGAAAGCAGTAGAGCAGCAGCACTTTTTGACGGATTGAAGTAAAGTTCGTGCCGAACGTTTAGAAATCGGTTACCTGTCAAAGAAGTAGTTTTCAAGAAGAGTGGTATTATTACCGAAAGACTTTTTCTTCATAAAATCCTGAATCTTTGCGTTTCTTTCCCTGAAAAGGGCAGTTATCTGCGCTGCATTAGAACACAAGAAAAGCATCAAACTTTCCAGCATTCTGTGATGTAATCAGCGACTTCGTCACCTCCTAGGTGCAGAAAATCATCAGGGAAAGCGTTCACTACTTCAGAGAAGAATTTCTTAAAAATTCGATTATCTTTCCTTTTATCCCAATAAATTCGTTATGCTTCCGCTTATTTTCATCTCACTGTGAGGAACTCGAAATTTTCCTCCTTGCTTGGATCTACCAGATTTCGGTAGGTTGGTTTTTTCGATGCATCGAAACACTCTGTTAACAGCTCCGGTTGACCTTTCCATGAGCCTGTATGACCTAAAAGAAAATCCTATTTTAGCTAGAGTTTATGGTAATATCATTCATAGTTTCCATTAGGATACCGAAACTAAATAGTTTTTCAACTCCAATGACTACTTTTTATGAATAATGTAAGAACTGCCAGTTACGTTGCACATAGTCCCGTCCATGTAGTAATAAGGGTTAAAAAATAGAGCCTGCTTAACCATTCAATCGAAATTCTTCTATATTTCAATAGATCGGACATGATTGAACTCGGAAATTTGTACAAAAAAAGCGCAAAGGTGTCATGGATTTTTTTCTGTTATATGCTAAAAACGAGAATTGCCAAACTAGTAACTGAGCACCAATATCTTTTCGTACTGTTAGGCTTCGACAAGGTCATCCTGCAAATTTTTCTTTATTGTGGCTAATGTTCCAGCGTAATTGCCCTCTGCAGAGCTTTAATGCTTAGAAACATGACGCAATATTAAGCAGTAATAGAAAGAGGATAAAAAAGGATAGAGCTCTCGACGTTAATCACTACCCGATGGACGCGCCATACATTTGACTTCATTAAGATTCTTAGAGTTGAGCACTTCTGGCCTTTGTAATGACTCGTGGTGGCCTAGCTATGCACCGAGCCAGTGCTGCAGTCCTCCCAAACAAGTTTGGTAACAGTTTACCAAACCCGGGATGGGACTGGGAAGGGGTAACGATCCCATGTGGAATGCAAAGCTCTCTAACCACTGCGCTGTACGCGCCCACATGCTATCAATGCACAGGTTAAATAAAATTCAACTTCAGAAACAAATAAATGATGATATTCCATTTCGCCTCTATATTCGCTTGGATAATATTCTAAAATAAAAAAACGTGCTAACAAATGCAGCTGTAGATGCTCATCTCATACCTGGTAGGTCAAACTCTGGAATAACCCGAATTCCACGGATTCTAGCGTACTGAAGGATGTCTCGTATTGCCTTCGATGTGTAGACGTGGCGTGATGAATAAGCACCCTTTAATGAATTTACGATTATCACCAGCGAATACTTTCAAGCAACTCACCACTTGTGAAAGTTGAGGAAACGTTGTAGAGACATACGGGAATGATTCGCTATCCACTAGATGCCAGTGCAAGACATTCATCTTGTTCATAGCCATGACATCCTATAGATGGAATTTATGACAAACGGAATTTATAAATTAATAAACAACATATTTATATTTAATTACTTAAAAAAGACAAATTATATTATATAAAATACTGAAGGCTCGTATCAATGTCATTGGCTTTGGTTAAACCTGAAAGACTAGGCTGTTGTGAAAAACAATCTGTAAAGAAGCATCCCAAGTAGCTATTCTGGGAAAATATCGTGTGCTTATACGAAGTACCGAAACCAGAAAATCAGAACGAGAAATCAGAAAGACCAAAAATAAGGCACAAAAAACCTAGACAAAATAAGGCACACCACGTTTACTTTAAAGACAGAAATTTAGAAAGGTGCATCTAATCAACAATTGGTGCCCGAAAATGTCGATACACGAAGTAGAGGAATCACAGAGATACTGTGCTATTGAAAAAAAGTCGGTGGCTCAGGTGTGATTTGAGCCCGCGTTAACCCTTTCCATGGGCTTACGTGTCAACCACTGCACCAACCGAATCCCTTGCATTGACTTTTCCTCAACTAATTTTTTTCCATAACGGTGTTTTCAGCAATAACCGTTAACGGGATTCATCTGGAGATCAAAAATCTGCATTCAAACCAGTTAAGTTAAAGCTGGCGTCGAAATCACAATGTTTCAATGTTTTCTCAGTGCCTACTCTTCCTTTATGGCAGGGAATTGAGTGAAGTGGCTTAGGATCCTTGTGATTGTACTTCACATAATACGTTGCAGTGATAACAGAGCAGGCAGTGAACAGAAGTTAAAATATTAGGAGTTAAAGTAGTTCTAACACCTTGCTGATCTCAATGACTTAAAAACCGAGGTGCGCGTACTCTGTGCAAGACAGTGGGCAGGAAATATTTCTTATCCCATATCACTATGGCACTGTCTCCACTTGGTTCACAGGACTATGTCGTGGCCGTAATAGGTTGACGACCACTATAATTGATGTATATGTCGCAAAAAAGAGATGGTTTAGTCGCATATACAGTTCTGTACAGTTAGGAGCTCCTTTGTAAGAGATTCGTATTTATCCATGTTTTGAAATCCGTCATAGAATGCTAGGAGAGGATAGGATGTCAATCACTCTGATCATTGAATTTTTAAATAAAAAGTTGAAACTGCTGTAGCATTTCGACAAAAAGGAGTAGACATATATTTCGCGTACTACTGACATTGATGGCTTTCTCGAAGACGCTATGACAAGAACAAATAGTGCACGAAATAACAATACTTAAAACGAAAGCGTTTGAAAATTGGCGCCATAATTAGCTCAAAGTCAAATATTAAAGTATTTTCGAAAAGTTATATGTTTAAGAGTTGGGAAATATTTCCAGAAAAACAACGCATCTCACCAGTTGTCGCTTAATAACCTTCTTCGAAAGATAGTGGCGTGAACTATCAATCATGATTCCTCTAACAGAGAATCGCGGAAAATCATGAACCTCCACCGTTCGGATGAAATACTAGAATTTTAAACGTCAATACGTTTCAGACAACTTGTCCTATACACTAGTGATCTTACTGTTGGATGTGTAAGCAGCCTTTTTGTTTCTTATTAAGGAATTATATCCAACCTCAGATAACTCTTATTGCTTACTGTTAGAAGCCAGTTCGAAGGTTTTGGTCACATATCAAAATAATTACTCACTATTTCATTTTTGTTAGCTCATGGCCTAATTTTCGGCCCGAAGATAACTGAGCATTATGGTCATAAAAAGAAGCATCGCTGACATGTAGTTGACCTACAACTCAGGTATAACCATAGGTGATCGAAGCACTTAGTGTTTTGTCCACGATTGATATTATTCTGCTGGTAAAGCAGCGTGGAAATGATCTGATCGCTTGAAAGACGAACTCAGTATGAGTAACGTTTCTTAGAATTGACGGCTAGAGGTTTTTTGACGAATACGGTTTGAGAGCTCTTCTTTGATAAGAGAACCTCCGCACGCTCTCATTAAGCAACTCAACTGTGTGTCGTGGACGTTGTGCCATCAACGTCTTGGAGAAAACATTGTCGAAGAAATCCATTCAAAGTGTTCAAATCTCTAATACAGAGTTATTCGTCAAAAAAAACTTTCATCGGCATATGGTAAAATTCACAAAGATTAGCCAATTATTTGCTAATGCCGAATTCCGTCGGCGTCCACTGCACTTTCCGGTTCTGGCGCCTTCCAATTTCTATTTTTTCCTTCTCCTCTTATATTCTAGGGCTGTTCTTGACCCTACGCTGAATAAAAACGAAGAGTTGCAAAACTGGATAGGAAAAATATCTTCATCAAAAAGTTAATTATTTCATAGATGTAGAATAAAGTGGTTGCCGAATTGTTGGGAAGTCGCTGAGAATAGCAGCGGAGAATACACAAGTTGCTAATTTTACATGGACACTGTAACATAGAATAAACAGGCTCTCTAACACGTGTAGGCAAGATATGAACTTGTGAGAAACCTATATTTGGATGAACTCAGTTTTTTCCCGCCGATATAGAAGACTACTCAGAGCCATAGACGACCCCACTTAAAGCGTTGTAAAGACCGCAGAATTTCCACCACTTGTATCGTTGTCTTAGAACCATTATCCACAAAATTTCTGAGCACATACGAGGGCTTTAACCGCGAATAAAAAATGTGAATGTCGACTCTAGCTGTTAATATAGCTGTTTTGTACGTGTAACGATTACGTCGACTCGTCTCTTTGGTGGTTTCCACTAGGCTTCTTTTATTTCTCGGATTTCTCTAAAATGTTTTCATGATCCACTTATCGTCTTCCCTTCCCAATATGTAACCAGGTTATTTTTTAAAACATATTCTGCTGGGTCTGACCTGCATGTCGGGTTCTATAGACTTGCTCTTATCTAAGCTTTCTGATGGAAATGTCAAACCATTTTCTAGCTTGGTAGAAGCTGCTGAGAATGAATCTTCTGGTTACACATCACGATTTCGTACAATGAAGAGTCCTTCAGCCATGGTATGCGGTAAGCTACAGCTTACACCATTCACAGTGTTACCACGGAAAATTCTAGACAGTGCTACGTTAGAGGCACTTAAATTTCCTGTGAGTAATTTTATGAGAAAACACACATTTTGAACATACCTTACTTGGATGAAGAAAAAAACGATACTATCGTTAAAACATGAAGTTCTTTCATAGAGAAACCGCCAACGTTCTGGTGTTGGCTACGCCATTCAAAACTCAGAACATAGCTGGCAGTGTTCGCTGCTGTCGATATGATATGCTGTAGAGGGCCACCCCTCATTATCATTCATTAGCTACATCATTCGAGGTAAAAAAGAGCTTGATGCTTCAATTTAGAATCCAAGTTAATAATAATCCCATGACAAAGTAAAGCTCGGGACTGTTCCACTGGAAAAGAAGAGACAAAAGAGTAAAACTAAAACGCCTCGTTCTTCGGAATTTTCGGAATGAGGCGCTTTTTGTGACAACTGACAAGTAGAACCTACTGAATGATTCTAGCTGCTATCAAGGATGAGCAGAGTATTCAATGTTGTTCTCTCGAACTAATTTGCAACTATTGGAATAGCAGGTGATTCCAACATAAGTATTAATCTTTTTATGAACTCTTTGTTAAATTTTCAAGCAGCGCCAACATTATCGCCAAGGTGTACAAATCGATATACGAGTACCGATGAATTAATAGATAGACGGTGAATAATTCGTCGAGAAAATTCGTCATTTTTTTTACGAAGCGTACAAATGGAGTGATTTGACAAAAGAACAAGATTCCGAGGATCCGGCTCGATGTGCAACAAAGACGCCACATCGAAATAACGAACAACTGAGCACCATCGGCGGGGATTATCGGCTCTGATGAAGACGAAACCGTCGAAACGTTAGCCGAATAAAGTCATATATCTACCTTGTGTAAGCTTATCAAAAAAATACGTATAAAGCCACTAGTTTTAATCCCTTTAAGGCCAAATTTGTAGGCATTATTTATGATAAGAATGAAACCTTCGACTTCTTCCGATCATAGAAGATCAGCTGACTAAGAGATTCCATGCCTCTAACTGCACCCCAAACTGTTTGGGACGTTATCATCGCCTTGTCAAGCGATACGTGAAGTGCATCTAGAATAAATGCGCTTGATAGTACTGAATTAGTAATTGATTCTATGTAATAAAGTTTCTCATCATCAAAGTACTTTCAGAGTTACAATAATAAAAAAAGGTCAAACGGACTAATAAATACTAAGAAAATACAATTAAGATGATGCTGAGATATTTGCAAAACTCAGGACCGCAACTGTCTGCGGTGAGGAAAGAACGCGCTATTGTCCTTTCCAGGGACTAACGCGTTCACCACCATACCAAGCAGGTCCCTTGTTTCCCCGTCTTTCAGCTAGTTCTATTGATCGGCGCCATCAGCAATCACCCGTCAACGAGACTGAGTTGTATTTCACATGATACTATGCTGTTAAAAATTATAGTAGGCAGTAAAATAAATAAATAAAAAGGTTAAGATACTGAAAAAAATATTTGTCGGTCCAAATTTCCAACCGTAGCTACTTTTTCAAAATACACTCACATTCTTCATTGTCACCGTGCTGAGGAAATCCACTATGACATGGTTCTTTTACTTTGATAGAAACGACGAATATATCAGCATCTCGTCTTGCGAACACAGGGAAGGGAAACATCCACTTCTTTACTGAAATACTCTTTTGTGTTGTAGAAATTTATACCTTCCCATGATCATCTATGAACACATACAATAATTCTCGACATTTATCACTAGAATATCGCAACTGCTTTTCTCTTCGAGATCGAAGCTAATCTTTCCAGGGCTAATTGTACGGTTCATTTTCCCGTATTTCACATGTTGCGGGAGAGGCCATATCTGCAATAAGATACAAACATATCAATGAAGCTTGTTTAAGATTTTCAATAAATTCGTTGAAGGTGGCACAACAGGTTTTCCTTTTGTTAACTTGTGGAATCCTTTTTACAGAAGAAAACGCAAGTTTTTCTCTTACGTAGTGCTGTTTAGAAAATGTGAAGATTGCATTCGAGTTCAGCTTCTTTATCTCTATTGAGTGATCAGTTAATTCTTCATCACTACTTTCATTTTTGATTTTCGTTTTGATATCATAAGCAAATCAGCTAATAGGAAGAGCGAACGAAAAATACGTTAAGGAAAGGATACCTTCCTCCAACCCACATCATGGTGAAGACATTAAAACGCTTCCGCAGGGTTAACTCGGGATTCCAAGAAGATCAAATTGCTCAATAAATAATGGGACAGCCTAAGTTTTCGTGTAGCTCCGAATGTTGATTGAGGATTTTCAATTCATCTTGAATATCATGGAACCGTACTCGAGTCAGTTCTCTCTAGTCTAGTTCTAGTTAGTCAGTCAGTCCTGAGTTAGCCGGACTAAAGCTTCCCCACTTAGATTGCACAGAATGGTTTTTTCTCAGTCAGGTCTGATGCCAATTTCCCGACCTCAGAAAAATGAGATGCAGGTGGTTCTGGATCGACATCCAACTAACACCGTACTCGTGATGATCGGCATCACAACACTGTTCTATCCACCTCTAAGTACGAATTAAATGCTTTTTATTATCAGTGGAAGGATATTGTCCGCAATAAGAGATTGCTTTAGGAATTTACTGCCAAAGACTTCAAGGAAAGCTAAAGGGAGCCAATACGGGGTGGGGAAATTTCGATTAATTGGAAAGAAGTGAGAACCGAAACCACTTTGCAGAACAACTGTTTCATGCATGCCTCTTCCACGTAAGCACGTTTTTTAATAAGAAAAAAAGCTGCGAACGGAGGAAATGGGTGTATCCTATCGACAAAACTCGTGCAGAAACCAACCATATTCCCACAAACAGGAAATTACGAAGCACTGACATATCTTTAGCCCCATCGTTCTGTACTGGGTCCGCCTAGCGCTTTCTTCGCCCGAAAATACGATTCTCCCTTAGGCTGGAAAGGAATTCATGTCATCGGCTAAGAAGAAAAAGCTCAGTTATATATGACGAGAACATCCTGGACGAAATCCTATCTAGACGTGACTGGCAGATTAAAGAAGATTTGACCAAAAACTACGAGCTGTTTGTCGAAGGAGTTAAAAGCTGTGTCGAATTGGCCTCATTTCAGCAAACAAGGAGATCAGGTCACATCTCCATTACCACAAAGGTGTTGTTCGACGGAGGAAGAAATCTGAAGCTTGAGTCTGCTGCAACGCGGTTAACACAGTGAATGCCAGCTGCAGAAGAGCTTTGCTGGAAGATATAAATCGTTACAGGCAAAGGAAACTATAAGAGGAGGCGTAAAAAAATAACCACTCTGAAAAAATGTTGTCGGGACTCGCACGAGTATAACGTTTCGCTGTGAGTCTTGTTGGATGAAGGTGGAATCACTAAACTTAACACCATGATATGGAATTAATAAGAGCAGTTCTACACCAACCTTTTTACTTCACAATCCGCTTTTCCAACCTTAAAACTCCCTCGGGAACAAAACCACCACTAATTCTTCTCTGAGCTACGAGTAGCGATGGAAAGCATGGCAAAATGTGCAGCTCTAAAACCCGATAATATCGTAGCTCACTTAGAGCTGAAAGCCACAATTTTCATAAACTTCTCGCAAGCAATAAGACATCGTATATTCAAAAGAAAAAATCCCAGAATGTTGAATGTTGCGCATGGTCATCCTGCTCAAGGAAGGTGTGTTTACTGCTGCATTGCAGTAAATAATGAAGTTATTCGATTGGGATGAGAAAAACATACTTATTGAGGAAAAATTTCTATCAAACCTATTCACGGATGACATTGTCATCTTTTCGAGGGGTACCAATAAAGCAAATGATGACCAATGAACTCAGCGAATCAGGAAAAAAGATTCGACTGCGCGTGAACAGGACGAAGAACGAGTTCATGAAGAACCCATGTGCGAAGGCGAGCAGATCAAACTGGATGGTTCTCTGATTACAGAAACCACTGCGCACCTGTACCTTGTGTGTTCAATGAACAGAAGAACGAGCAGTATAGTTGCATTTGGGCCTCTCACGAAAGCCACCGATCAACAAAAAGACTAGAAAATTCGCGCTCACCTTTTTTATTAAACAGTCCTCCCAGCGCTCTGTTATGTAACAGAAACGTGGGCTAATAATTCAACCATGTCAGGAATACTGAGCACTAATCACAGTACGGCTGAAAAAAGCCCCTAATGTAGAACAGAAACACACAATATCTAACTGAAATACGAAGCTCTGATCTTCGAAATCTATCTCGTCCTCGAGATCTAGGAGAACATGCACTGATAGCGAAATGTAGATGAGAGAGTCGTATAACGAAAAGAACAGACGCCAAATGGTCGAAAAGAACTGAAGAGTGGACTACACAAGAATTCAGGCGTCTCCTAGGATTACCACATTAGGATTCTGAGACGGGATGTTCGTAATTGAAGGGAAACAGCTTTACTGGCCGTTGCAATTGCTTTAGAAGTGATGATATGAGACTCGCACCCGCCACCATGCTCAGTGATTGAATAAAAGCCTCTCTACACATTTGCTTTTTCCTATTTTAAACCTTCACGTTCATTCCATCATTGATGCTAATGTTTTTTTCTCTCAGGAATAGGAAATAAATAACGGTGATATACGTGTCGTCATTGTCAATATTTTACTATTTCGCGAATTAATTTTATTTTCACATGAACTGAATCATATGTGTCACTTTGTGCCAATCCTGGTACTTTTTGCATTCGATTCGTTGCTGCATGCCTAACATACACGAAAGCCTTCGGATTTGGAAATGAGTTCAAAAACTGATCCGAGCCGATGGTCCACAGTTGTTTGTGTTCTCGATAATTTTTCTCAGTCAAGCATCTCTCGGATGAGGCATACTCTCTCGGCGGCTCTCTTTTATACAGGTTGCCTATTGTCGATAATAGTGATTGTCCGCTGACGACAACTTGTTTTTCCGGACAATTCATCCTACAGAAGTCGCTATCATTATCAGTTGGCATAGATAAAAAAGGGTAAGGGATAAAAATCCCAGTGTTGATCAACCCGCCATGGATTCGATTTCACTAAGCATCGTCGGAGGTGAATGAATGCATATCTGGCCTTTACAATACCTCGCGGTGGCCTACTGATGTGATGATGAACCAGCGTTGCTATCTTGCCAAACAAGTCTGGTACTAATTTGTCGAGCTCGGAAGAATGGAAAGCTTCGTGAGGCTAAGGCGCGGCGATCGATCCCATGTGCATTGCAGGGCGGTTACCGACCACAGCACCACACGCGCCTTTCCAGCTAACATAGAGCATAACATTATTTCAAAACCGACTTTCCTTTAACCTCAGCATGACTTGTCAACATTTATTCTTTCTTTAATAAGCATACACGAAAACATTAATGTAGGAGTGTCGCCGAGTGAGAATGCCTCGTTCGAGCGATGCTCCACTGAAGAAGATCCGACTGGACACGAAGACGTAGATGCCACATCGAGAAGACGATCAACTACGAATCATCGACTTAGATCGTCTGCTTCGATAACGACAAAGACCTCGAAACTTTAGCCGAATGAGGATTGTTTATCAACCTCTTCTAAGCTTGTCAAAGAAAGAATATCAATTAAGCACGCTAAATAGAAGGACATCTTATTGACCTTGAACACCATGAAATCAAAAAAGGTTTTTTTCCAGCATTTCAGTTTGATGATGAGTTTAACGTTTAAATTAAAAAGGAAGAGAACAGTTAGGTAGAATTTCATGAAAGAACCGGCGTTGTCCTGGCAAGAACTAAATCTCAAGATGGTATGTCTCCGACTATAAACACTGGAACGACGATTTACCATAGTCATAACAGACGACCCAACATAGGACATTAGTCACAAAAATCGTGTCCAGCTAAAGTAATACTTGTCAAATGGTAATTCTGCTGGGTTCCATACGATTCTTTGTGAAGACGATTAAGCAAGTATTCAAATATTCAAGTAGTTGAAAAATTCGGAGCTATCATGCTTTAGTAATATCGTAGTGCGATTCCTTAATCAATATAGCGTTAGAATCACACAACTTCTTTTCTATTAAAACCCCATGAAACCTATTTTCTGCTTTATTTTTTTTTAGTCGTTGTAACTCGTGTTTCAAAAAAAGAAGCTGATGGATAAGTGAGATTTTGTTCAGTGAGGCGTTGTACTTTCGCCGCATGTTTCGCTGATGATATTCGCGGATGCCGGGACCTTGACAAAAAAAGACTTGAATATTTTGGTAGCTTTCGATTTTCGGAAATTTTTAGGGCAATAATCGCTTTATTGGGAGAAGACAGCGTAGTGGTTAGTGATACCGTCGGCCAGCAAAGCCGCTAGTTTGACCCACCCCCAACGCTCTCCTCCAATCCATGTGGAATCGCCTTATCCCAGCTATCTTCAAGACTTCATGAAGAATTGACTTAACCAGCATTCCACGACGTTAATACAAAAGACGAAATCCTTAAGTAACAACCGAAACAGCAAGCTAAATGTTCAAAGACCACTACAAAGGATGAAAGCAAGGGAAACGAATCGAATGCAATAAATCCCGAAATCCAAACAGCCAAAACCTATACAGAGAAACTGTATGAAAACTTGATTCAAGCAGTAGCTTGCCTACCAAAGATACTGCGTCGACTACGACCGGAAGAAATTAGACAGTTCATAGCTGATAAAAAAGCAAATTTTCGCGAGACCTCGTTCCATAACATAAAGAGCAACGGAACAGTTAAAAAACCTCTGCTAATAAAGCTATTAGGAGTGGAGGAGGCAAAATAGACTATATGAGTTACATACCATTCATGAAGTACATATACGACGAAAATTTACATGGTTCCTCGCCT